AGACAGACAGACAGACAGACAGACAGACAGACAGACAGACAGACAGACAGACAGAAAGGGAAGGAGGATCTCTTTTACTGACTGACTGACTGACTGACTGACTGACTGACTGACTGACTGACTGACTTACATAGACGGAGAGCAGTCGACGCCACGCTTGCTGCCCCTACCATGTCCCCCAATTCCGGCAAATCCAGGGCCTAGGTGATTGCCTCTTCCCTTTTATAGCTTCCAGTTGGTCTTCTTCGTTTTCTTTTTCCAGTTGGTTTCCAATACCATGTCTGATTGAGCAATCTTGTCTTCGGCATTCTGAGAACACGTCCTAGATATCTCCATCTTCTTCGTTTTATGGTTGTTTTGATATCTTCAATTCCTGCTCTTTCCAGCACTTCATTATTTATTGTAATAAATTCATTCCATTTTACATGTATCAGTATAATTCTTCGTAAACATTTTATTTGGAGGCTTTTTAATTTCCGTCGAATTGTTTCATTTGTTTTCCATATCTCTGAATACATGTATTGCTATTATATTTTTAAAAAATGTTGTCTTCAATTAAATTATTTTTGACTTCCATATAGTTTTTAATTTCACAAAGGCGATTTTAAGCCTTAGGTGGACGTCCTCAAGGTTGTTTGCTGTTTTGGATGAAATGCTGCCGAGGTACTTGAATTAACTTATTTCTGCAAGGGGTTTTCCATAAAGAGTGAAATGCGTAGTTTCTGGTGATAGTCGCACTACTTCTGTTTTAGATACATTTAATTTATTTAAATTATGAGTCCAACTTGTTCAGTAGCTTTTGCTAGTTCGTTTTGTTGTTTTTTCTTATTATTGCATTTCATGCACTGTGGTGTTCAATAGGCAGATGTCATCCGCAAAAATCTAAATCTCCTAAATATGTGCCATTTGTCCATCCAATTCCTATGTCTGTTTCAATGTCTTTGCTCTGTCTCATTACAAAATCGATCACAATTCCAAATAGTACAGGTGATAATATAAAGCTTTTCTAACACCAGTATTTGCTTCAAAAGGTATAGATAGTTCTTTTTCAACTAAGACACAGCAGCTTGCTTTGGTATATAATGATCTTATACAGTTTATTATTTTTATTGCGATGCCACAAATTGCAAGAAGTTTCCACAGGGCCCTTCGGTCTATGCTATCAAAGGCTTTGTTTAAAGTCCACAAAGATCAAAATAAGTGGGACATTCCATTCTTTTACCAGGCCTGTTACTTTTTGTCTTTTTATCTTCACTTTTATTGATTTCTTTCCTTCTATCTATGTTTTTCTTTCTCCCC